CCGGGAACGGAACACGGAGCCCCGAAATCTCCCCCCGGATCCGGGTGAGCAGCAGCACCGGGAGCACGCGGGGGGAATCGGGGAACCGGGGGGTGGCTGGGGAAGGGGGGGGATGATGAGCATCAGCGACACCGGGCCACCCGCCCCCGCCGGGAGGAGGCCTCCTCCCGGGGATCAACCGGAGGCGACCCCGGGGGGGACGCCCGGATCCGGTGTCGCGGGTATATATTTAGCCCCACCGCCCGGTTATATTTAGCCCCTTCCCCCCCCTCCTTGCCGCCCTCTGACATTTGCCGCTCCCCCGCCTGGCGGGGGACGGAGGCCCCACAAGGCCCCGCCGAGGCCCGCGGAGAAGCGGGGGACGTGCGCTACGTGCGGCCGCGCCCCTCACCGGTGTCGGCGGAGAGCTTGGCGCCGTTCAGCGTGTGGATGAGCTCCCCCAGGCTCTTCTTGTCGCCGTTCATCTTCCAGTTGCCCCCCACGAAGAATTTCCTGGGCGCCATGGCGGGAGAGAGCGAGAGAGCGGGCGGGCAGCGGCCGGTTACCGGAGGAGACGCGAAGGTCAAACGGCGGCGGCAACGGCGGCGCGCGGCACCGGGCGGCCCCTTTTAATGGCTGAAGCCACGCCCCCTCTGCGTGACCACGCCCCCTCCGTGTGGACAAGCCCATACCATGACCACGCCCCCTCGTTCTGGCCACGCTCACACCCTGACCCCGCCCCCCTCGCTCTGGCCACGCCCCCCTCCCGCAGCGCGCCCCGGCCTCTCCGGGCCCCGGCGGCTCCTCGGTGTTGGCGGCGACACCGGGGTGGGGGGATAGGAAGAAGCTGTGCCCCCGGGGAATCCCGCGGCGGAGAGAAGGAAGGGGGGGGCTGTACCCGTGCCGCAGCACCCCTGCTCCCACCCCCGGAGCCTCGCAGGGTCCCCCGGCGCTGGAGAAAGGAAGGAGATGGCGGTGCTGTGTGTTGGGGGGGGTATTTCGACTTTTATTTCGTCCCTCGTGTATTTTGGCATGTAAAGGGCA